CGCGCTGACACAAATATGCCATTTTCCACAGTCCATCACTGCTCTGACTATCTGTGAACCGAGCCTCCTTCTAAATCATTCAGCTGAAATCCAAAACCGTCCTGATATTTCCATACTCTGGAGACGGCACATTTGATAAATGTTTCCTGGCCTCTGGCACACTTTTATCTGAGGCTCCATTTGATCATTCTTACCAGCCGCAGACTCTGAAACTTATACAGCAAACACAAAGTAGAAAAGAATAGTTGTTTGACATGATCCACACGGTGTCTTTCTGGATTAAAGCGCCCACCTTTGAGGCCTTTCAAACCCCCTGTAGTCTCTGATCAAGGCAGATAAAAAAAAAAAACAGTTGAGATGTGGGCATACAATCAGCCAGTCTTCTTCTCCTGTTTTAAACCTTCTCTCTTATCCCTAAGTCAATCCAGCATCCTCAAAAGTAAGGACCCCTCTCCCTGATCTCTGCGAACAATACCAGTGCCACACACCTCAAGTATTCCTTTGAAGCCTTCAGACCAACCTGTGCTGCTGTCTTGTGGTCCTATCTCCCTGAAACAGATCAGAGTGCAGATAACGAGTGATGTTTGCAAATACATATGTCCAAACCAACCCCACCGTGTGTTATTGAAGCTGGTGGAGCTCAAAAACAGGAAGGTGATCATGTGATAAAGACGACAATAAAGCAGCAGAAGCCATTGAAATTTCACATATTGTTTATTTTCACGCTGGAAGCCCTCATACTTGGGATTTTACAAGGCACTTTTTGGCTTTGCGGTGCCAGTTTGCATTCTGCAAAACGATCTCTCACATGTTTAAACTGTTGACATTTTGTTGGAATGAACCAAAATTTGAGGTTTCCCATTGTTTCTTCCTTAATGTAATTGTGTTTTTATTACTCCTCATTCCACATTTACAGTGTTTATAACCAATACGGCCCGTCAAGATATGCATTTCATATACCCACACCACATAAAATCTGTTTATACACTCAGTAAACTACACATCATTTCATGTTGTGGTTCACTGCTGGGGCTGTCAGAGAGGATGGGCAGAAATATTCTCATTTTGGTTTTCATAGGCTCCATCTCTCTCAAACACATGTTGTCCGGACAGAATTACAACAATGCCCAACCTGGACTGCCTTCAGTTTCCAGAACTTTCCTTTGATCCAGAGCGTAAATCACATTCCAGGGTCATGTATAAAAGCTTTGTTTATCCTTTCATTCATTACTCAGAGGGAGACAGATGTTTGGCCCAACATGTGTGCATCTGAAACATGTGGAGGGCAGCCCCACCATGTATGGATGGAGACATCATATATAGTAGGTTAACTCACATGCTGCAGATATTACTCCCTGATGAAAGGAGTTTCCTCTATTTCTGTTACAGTCACGCATTCAGGAGCTTTATTCCTCCCACAAAGTGATCACAGCTCCTGTGGTGGGTGAAGCAGAGCCACTGGATGACAGATGTTTTTAGGGAACATTACCTCAATGAACTTGCGAAGGATGCAGAATGAGACACTTTTTCTCTGTGGCTCAAAACAGAAGCAGGTGCAGTGCCCGTAAACATCCACATCTAAGCAACAGTCTCATATAGGTTACAATTAAAACAAGATGTCCTGCGAATGAGTCAGTGGGACACACATGTGTTTAGTCGAACCTCGAAGCCCGGCCTTCGGGACTGCGGAAGGCTTTGGAGTAGTAGTGGTTTAATGTAATTAAGGATCATGTTTGCTTTACAAGCAGGATGAGCCCCAGAGGTCAATGGAAGAAAAGTGGGGTCTGTCTCATGATTCCATCAGAGGATTACCACTTCCTCCTTCCTGTTTACTTCCTCTCGGCCGTACAGCTGTGCTCAGATGCCAACCAGAAAGAGTGTTCCTCCAGATAGCAAATGTTAATTACGGTCCTGTGTTTTGAGCAATTTCCTTTTCCTCTCCTTCTCACATCTAGTTTATCTTTGTGTTTTCGTCCGTGTCTGTCTCTTGCAGATCATCCCTTCTCAAACTCCCCCTTTTCCTCCTCCAGACTTCACCCCCAATTACAGTTTAGTCTGTGTGCCAGCTGCAGCGATACAACAGAGGATATACGAGAACGATGTTTAATCAGTCGCAAGGAAGGTTTTTACTCAATTAATGAAGAGCTTGAGGTGAGACAACATTAGGATTGGAGCTGACAGTCGGAGAGATGAGAGACTTTGAATATACTTTGAAAAAACACTGAAAAAAACTAAAACAAGACTACTCTTTAATTAAAACACACAAAAGCACATTACACTCACACATTTGCAACTGCTGCTCCCCCTGAAGTGAACTGAAGCGTTTGCATCATATAATTAATCAGATGATTTGAATAAAATAGTCTGTGCTTTAAATGCTTTACTATCCATGAATGTTTGCACTTCCTTTCCTAATCCTCTTGCTGACACTGAAGCTTTTCATCTATACCCCTCTGATCTTCCAGCCTTTGAAATGAGCAGCTCCACACCTGCTCATCCCAGACACTTAAACAGCACTGGAGCTATTGAACGTACCCCCCGCATCCTCACTTTGTTTAGAATTCCACCACTCCACTGGCCAAGAAATAGGTTATTGAGTTATCTAGAAAATTTCGCCGAGTAGAAAAACAGAGAACCTCCTCACATCTCTAACACGGACTGATTAAAAACAGCTTTTTTGTCCAGACATCTCAGTGAATGTGCTTTCTAAAACAGGTCCCTGGCATTAGGGGGGACACGGCAAGTGGGCACATTTCTTGCAGCATTTCCTGCTGTTCAGATATTTACCGTAATCTTAATCAGTTGATCTTGGCAAGTTAATTGAGAATGTAAAATAAATTACACGCACAAAGACGTTTTTTTTTGTGATAAAAGGTACCATTTCCTCATGAAACACGTTTACAGGCAGGAATTCTCTGCAAATAATCAATAAATGAATTTAGTTAAAAAGGGAAATTTATACAAGTGAAAAGACAGCAACCAAAAGAAGTTGCTTAATAGTGCTGTAGAAATGGCTTTTCTGTTTATTCTAGTCGCAGGATATTCTCCTTTATTCACAACAGTAATAGGTGTACTCATATGTTGCAATGATGTACAGTATTGTGCAAAAGTTTTGAGCACTAAACAGATGTTTAGACTCTTATCCGTACCACCAGGGAGGCGTCTGATCAGTCCAAAATTCATTCTGCAGGAGGACAACAACCCCAAACACACAGCCAGACTCATAAAGAACTATCTTCAGAGACAAGAACAAGGAGTCCTGCTACATATGGTCTGGCCCCCACAGCGCCCTGATCTCAACATCATGGAGTCAGTCTGAGATTACATGAAGAGACAGAAGACACTGGGACAGCCTGAATCAACAGAAGAACTGCGGCAAGTTCTCCAAGAAGCTTGGATCAAATTACCTGAGTGCAAGTGTACTGAGGAGAACTGGTGATGTTTTAAAGGCCACAGCAAATATTTACATGATTTGATTTTTTTTTTTTGTTCACTGCAAGTTAAATAAATAAAGAACATTCATGGCATTATTTTTGAAAGCAGTCTCACTTGACTTTGAGTGCCTAAAGGTTTTGTAGAGCACTGTAAATCTTTGCATAAAGAACAAACTATGTCCACATTAACTAAGTGTTTAATATAGTTGATTAAAGTTTTTTTAGGGCAGATAGCGCCATCAGCTGATGGAAACATGCAATTACACCTCTGAGGAACAATTTGAGGTCCGTCATGCACATCACGTTCAATAGTACATTGCCAACAATGTGCAAAACTAAGACAAGCAAGCTCCATCATCTAGGAAGAGTTTTACTCATAACTGTTAAACATCTTAAACTCTTTGCCAGAGAGGGAAATTAAACATTAAAGTGTACAATACGAATGAATGTGGCTGAGTCCCAGTGAGGCCAGCGTCCATCAGTGCCCGAGAGACCTATTAGGCTTCATCCCAGAGCACTTCATCCACTGTCTGCACCTGCAGCAGCAGAAAACTGCCCTCTCCTTCACAGCTCACCTTTCTGTCCATCAACCTTTTCTGTGGAGAGAGAACAGATTAAAATAGTGGGTTAAAGGTGGATGATAAGGGTGTTAGCTACGGTAGAATTAGCTACATCAAAAGCACTCACAGGCCCACCTTTAGGGACGAACATCAGTGAGCTGCTGAATATTCAGAAGCGTGACAGCCCATCTCTTGGTCCATCATACAAGAACTCATGGCCCAATCCATTGCCACACTTCCCACAACAAACCTGGGTATTAAAATCCAGAAAGTTCAACTCAAAACTCTATACCTAGATCACTTGATTAATAAGAGGTAAAAACAAACAGTCAGCAGTGCTACTTTGGGATGGGCAACCTACCTTTACGGGTCCCCATGCTTCAGGGTGTTTGGACACACTGTCCTCATGGATTGTTTCTGAGAAGGCCGGCCAAGGAGAAGAGTGCTCGAACTTTGACGTGCTGGAAAATAACTCGTGCCCACATTCTGAACACACATAAATACCTGAGAGCCAAAGAAAAAAGCCATGAGCTTTTATGTTTACTACACTGGGACTTGTTTCCCCTAGACATGCAACGTCACGCTTCTTTGTCACTCACCAGGCTGGAAGTGATTTTTATATTCTTCTCCATTAGAAAAAGAACAATATGACATTTCCTCCATGTCAAATGTCTCAGTCCCTCAAAACCAAAAGCAGTTTCCCTTCAGTTAGTTTAGAAAGACGTTTGCAAAGAGTCACCCGGCCTAAGCTGGAAAAAAAAACCTGCATGTCCAGATCAAATGTCAACAGCTCTGTCCTGCTTGTGTAACACCTGATCGCATTCTCATTACTTCCACATGATGGCAGTCGTGTCAAAGTAAAGCAAGTATGCCTTAAATAGAATGATGACATAATTAATATGGTAAGAGAGAAAAAAGAGAGAAAAAAAAGCAACATATTACATTCTTATCTAGAAAGTCATTTAATTATCAACAGCAAATATTTACCCAAATATATAGGGAGAGTATTGTTTTTATTATTTAAAATATATTTATTTAATTTTTTGCATATTATTAATTTTGATACATTCACATAAAGCTCTTGAAGAGGGGTGTAGACTGCATCAACATTATTCTATTTATTGAAAATAGCATTTATATTTTGTCATTTTCTACTAATTAATATAAAGAAGATCATGAGTATCTTTGGAAAAGGTTCATCTAGTCGTAGAATCAGTTTTGTAAGATGCTGTCTTTCTGGTATATTTGTTCATTTACCTTCACAGTTTTGAGAAAGCAGTAGAGGTTCAGGAAAAAACTGTGACGGTAAACAAAAAAAAAAAAACACCTTTAGTCTCTCGGTAAGAAATAGCTTACAGAACCATGAGAAGTCTCGAACAATGTAAAACTGATGAGATAGTGATGTGTGTTGTCAGTGAGGTTATCCCGGTTACTGAGTCTGTGATGATTATATAATAAAAAGGTGATGAGACCCGTCCTCTGTTCTTGCTGTTCAGTGAGGCCACCATTCATCAGAGGCCTGGTCCTCCCAGATTGGGCTTTATCCCAGAACTCTTCATCCACTGACTGCACCTTCAGGAGCACAAAGTCCAGCAACACGTACCACTACCAGCTCACCTTACTGTCCATCAACCTTATCTGGGGAGAGGAAAGAGAGACAGGGAGATGTGGGGTTGTGTATATAACCGTGCAGGAGGATGCATTACGACACTCAAGCTCTGTTTGCTCACTGGAGATGTGGTATCTGCAGTAAAATTCGTAGGTGTGTTTTTAGGGCCCAAGTTATAAGTTCTGTTATAATATGACTGTTTGTACCTTTAGGGACGAACTTCAGTGAGCTGCTGAATATTCAGAAGCGAGACAATCCTCTGGTTGGACCGTCATTCACAAACTCATGGCCCAGTCCATTTCCACACTTCCCACACCGCACCTGGAACAACACATCATACACCTGTATCAGGACTTTGTGCATTTCCATAGAGTTATCATTTAATACATTTGAATAGCCCTCCACATGAGAAGTTCTTAAAGGATTTTAAGTTTTTTACAACCACTTAGTAGCATAAAATCAGTTGCTTTAATTGAGGACATGAGTATGACATTGTAAGTTGCCTGGTCTAGAAACAAATGTTTACACTCAGCTTCCTCTGAGAGGTTCAGTTAATAAACAAAGTAAGTGATGGTACCTTGTATGCTCCAGGTCTCTCCTCATGTTTGGACACACTGTCCTCCTGGATGGTCTCTGTGAAGGCCGGCCAGGGAGAGGAGTGCTCATACTTGGAGTGGCTAGAGAACAGCCGGTGATCACACTTGGAACAAACATAAATCCCTGAGGAGTAAAGGATGGGAGATGATGGCTGGTGTAGAACATGACGAGAGAACTATTTTCACACAGATCTTACTTGACATTACCCCAGCCCAGGCTTGACATCATGTTAGTGCTATGTTAGTATCTTCTAATCACAAACGCTTGTGATCCAGTTTTCTTTCTGTGACTTCCCTTTATATGTTTAGTGAATTTATCATAATCATTGGTGTATTTTTATTTATATAAAGGTGTACTTCTTACACGGAAATCTAACTTCTCACTTAGAGATAACCTAGATCCTGTTTTGCAATATAGTTGTGTAACCTAAACATGGGTTACAAAAGTTAACGAGTTTAGGTAACTAGTTTTTTCTGCATTTCTTCAGCATTTTTTTTCTGCCAATTAATTTAGTCTTATGTGACCATGTGTGCAGTGTCAATCCCTTCTAAAAGTTTTTATTGTTAGCTGTAGCTGACAGGAACAGGAATGTATAATTTAGTCCGACACACACACACACACGTTTGCAAAGTTAGCCAACAGTGGCTAGCTGGTTATCGTTAACGCCACTTCTGCCTAACAGCAACTGTTATGCAGAAATTTTTAACAAAGTACAAGAAGTCAAACTCATGAAAGTACCTGGTTTAAAATGGTCTTTGAAGACCTCCCCACCGAAGAAAGAACAAAACGACATCGCTTCGTTTTCAGAGTAGTGATATGTTTAACCAGCCTCCTAGTCAGAGCAGAAGAAGTTCTTCAGCAACAATAAGACTTCCGGTTTTAGAGTCGGACCTTCAAAATATAATCAGAGAACTTCATGAAGTCTACCTTTGCGAATAATTGTTTACAGTGTCTGTTTAAAAATCAATTAATAAATTGCATACATTCTAAAAATCTATTATAGATTGAATAGTTGTATTGCCCTTTAATGTATGCATTAATTAACTCAAAGTAAATATAATAATAATTTTGGACAAATGGATGACAATTAATTATTTCTCCTTTTTTGAAAACTAATCGTCAATAGTACTGGAGACCACGAACCACCAATGGTCAACAAAAACTGAACAACACTTTGTTAGGATAGAATTTATGGCAGAACTACTGAATCACGACATAGAAAGTAGCCGCAGAGTGTATGAAACAATGATTGAAATTTAAAAGCTGCAAAATGTATTCTTAAACAAAACAGACAAATAGCCTCTACAGTTAAGAGGCACTTATTCAACATATCTTCAGTTTTTCCAATAATGTTCACTGTCATCTTGCAGTTTCAGATCAAGACTACAACCAAAATCAGTTTTTATTATAGCGACTTGAACTTCTCCAAATTCCATCTCGATTTGGAATTGACACTTTTATTGTGAACGACTCAAACCGGATGTACCACTGTGGCTGCTGGCAGATCACAGTCTGTAGGACTTGACAGGTTGGAGGTGGGTTGGCAGAGTTAATCTTGTTGTTTTCCAGCTATTGTTGCCGATGTTTTTTCTCCGAGACTCTCTCCGGAGACATGGATGCCACAATGTTTCAGCTGAGGTCGTTTGTTCACCAGCGGCTGTACGCAGCGGCAGAGGAGATCCTCGGAGAGGTGGAGAAGACCATAACGTTAGCGCTGTACGAAGCCGAAGTTAGTCGATCTAAAGAGGAGGTCGAAAGTCTGCGACACCAGCTGGGCCTTTTGCGAAAGAAATCAGGTTTGGGACTGCTTTAATATGCTGTGTGGTGGCATTTTCATATGCAGAGGTAGCTGAAGAAGTAGCTTAGGATGTTGCTCCTCGTTTACGCATGCGCGCACACACTGTCCACTCACCAAGTGCTGTGAGAGCTGCAGCATTAGAGGAAATACTTAAGTACTGTACACTGAATATATGAGAGCCTTACAGCATCAGCGGAGAGCAGCACTTTATCAGAAGAGTTAGAGAGTGTCCATGCAAATTGGAGTTTTTTATATTGTGTGTATCTTTCATAAAATGACTCACTTGGAATGGTAACACTACAGGCTGCTGGGTAACTTTTATGTCTGTAACTTTTGTAGCTGCAGAGCCTCCATTGACCAGCAGCACCGCAGAACATGAAGACCAATGTGACACCCCACTGCTGCGAGAAAATCCAGGACCCTCAACTCCAGAAGAATCTAACTTCAGTCTGAATGCTGAGTTACCAGGACCCTCACAAACCAGCGCGAACCTGGACAACAATAACTGGAACTACTGCATGGTTGAGACAGACTTCAAGATGTCAGAGATAAAAGAGGAGGAAGTTGAAGATGAGAATCAGACACAGGAGATTGTTTTTCCTTCCCCTGAAATTGTGAAAAGTGAGCCAGAGACGCAGGTATCATCTGAAATGGAGCCCCTTTCTTTAGACTGCTCTGCAGCTCAGAGTGAGAACAATGACAGTGATGAGGAGTTGGTGAACAGCAAAGGAGAGCAGACCAAAATGATGAACAGGGAAGAAAAGATGTTGCAAGGACAAAGTGGCAATGATGATAAGAAGGACGACGCAGTATTGCCTTCTGCTAAAGGTCAAAAGGATCGCAGTTTTTGCCATTTATGCGGCAAGGGATTTCAGTACATCGGCTCCTTGATGAAGCACATAAAAACACATGAGAGCAAAACTGATTGCACTGTTTGTGGGATGACACACCAGTCTACTAAAGAGTTGGTCACTCATTTGAAGGGTTGTCACAACAAAGCATATTTTTGTGACATTTGTGGCAAGACTTTTGCCAGTAATCGTTGTCTCCGGCTGCACGAAAGAATACACACGGGTATAAAAGAGTTTGCTTGTCAAGAGTGTGGCAAAACATTTTACCGGAGAGAGCATCTCATTGTCCATGTGAGGACCCATTCTGGGGAGAAACCGTATCACTGTGATATCTGTGGAAAAGCATTCAGTCAAAGTCAGAACCTCACAATTCATAAAAGAAGTCATTCAGGGGAGAGACCATATCATTGTGGCATGTGTGGCAAACTTTTTAACACTAGCAGTCACCTCAAAACACACATGAGATACCATTCGGGAGAAAAACCGTACCCGTGTGATATCTGTGGGAAACGTTTTCGCCAAAGTGGACAGATGACGAGACATAGAACCACACATACAGGAGAGAGGCCATATGCCTGTCATGTTTGTGGCATGAGATACAGGTTTGCACCTAATCTGAAGGTGCACCTACAAACTCATGAAAAGGCGGCCGCTGAGTGAAAACAGTTAAATGAACCAGACAGACCATCTCACAGATTGAGGGTGAGTTCACAGGAAAGGTTTACATGCATATACCATGCATGACTCACCTGTTGGCCATTTTTGAGTTTATATACAAATCATATATACTTACAGTACATTACTGCCAGACGTGTCCGAAAGCAAACCATAAGTTGTTAAACTTAGAGATATTTGAGGTAAGTCATGTCACCATGAACATTTAGTCAACTTTTTTCTATCTGAAGATTGAAGTTGGGCAGAGCTGTCATGGAAATTAGCTGAGTCTTATCGGGCAAAATAAGTAAAAACACCTGTATGGGTGTCCCCGTGGGTGTGCAAGGCTTTGTCCGGTGCAACACCAGTGTTGGTATTCTGGAGCTTTAACTGTTTGAACATAGCAATATGAAGAGATTCATGAGCTAATAGCCATGTTAGCAAAAAAATGTGACTGACAAATTTTCAGTTTGCTTTATAGAGCAGTACATATTATCGCTAAGGTTATTTACAATTGATTGTGACCATGCTTTAATCATTTTTACTTGCATACATTCATTTGGCTTTTTTTTGTCTTATATCTTACTGATATGGGGTTCAGTGTTTTCAATCCTAGTACTCTACTGCCTGAGCTGCAGCCAGCCCATTTTTTTAGTAACTACAGCCATGAAGCAAGAGTAATATAGAACACAAGTCATGTCATATGGTTGTAAAATTAGAGGAAAAAAATTTGAAGTATGATATTTTTGGGGATCATGCAACTCTTCAGGATGAATGTGGCAAAGATTATGACCCAGCAGCAGTATTCATTGCAAGTGTTACTTTCCAACATATTTACACAGATAGTCAAAGAAAAAAATTAACTGAACAGATACATTTTTATTATTTATTTCCAATCTTTGTTGCAGTGATCACTTAACAACAGAATCAGACAGACATTTGTACTGTGTGTTATTGATGGTCAGCCTGATCAGATGATCAGTTGTTTTTACATCAGACATTTACACACATTTATCCAAAGCCAAATGAGGAAACGAACTGTGTGCGTGTAAACTTATCTGATGGTGTAAGATTGAGGTAATTTTATCTAAACCATGCATTGTGTCTGCTGAGGAAGCACCCCCCCATACACACAAACACACACACACACACACACACACACACTATTATCACACAAACACATCTGTGACAATGTGAAAGCCCTGTTGTGATGTTTCTGATGAGGTAGTTTCATTTTTGAAGAACAGTTGGAAGAGCCCCTTTGTCTGTTACGTTACCAAAACGAAAAGCCACACCATCTAAATATGTTCATAAATCCCTTTAGGCTTCTGTTCTACATGTTTTAGTCTGTTGAAATATGTTAGCACTTATCAAGAAGGTTAACTGATCCCCATGGGTAAAACCTGTTTCCTTTTGATGGTCAGAGCTGTCTTTTTGCACATTTCATACATATGTATTTTTGTATATTGTTCTGTGTAATATCTTCTAGTGGTGATACCAAATTTCCACGTGGGGGACAATAAAGTTTAATATCCTATCATATTACATTACAATAGTCTGTTTATCTTTTCCTGGCTGTGGCCAAGTCCAAAACCAATATTATCCTTCAATCCATCCAAACAACTAATACTCAGTTCAAGTTCACATTTTACTAAGCAGTAATCACACAGCACATTTAGCTTAATATAGGGACAAAAAACTCCAGAAACACATCCAGTTTTTAACCATTTTTTAAAAAGTGACAAATGGGAGAAAATATCCTCACCCGTCTGCGAGTAGGCCATACAGGACTCAACTATTCATTACATAAAATGCAGACACTAGCCAACCAGAAACAGTTGAGCATGTGCTACTTCATTGTAGGAAATACAATGAGGGAAATCACCTTCTTCTGTCACTAAGGAAAGCAAAATAGCATGACACTCACTGTCAGGGGCCAGGGCTCTTTTTACTGTATAAACTCCTGCTCCGCACTCCAGTCCAGTCGGTAGCGGTAATGCAGCTCTAGGATGGTTTACCAACATACACCACAGAAGAAGAAGAAGAAGAAAGAAGAAGAAGTCGAAAGTAGGAGAAGAAAAAACAGAGTGAACCATCTCTTTACTATATGATCTTTCTAGCGGCCGTCACGTGACGAATGATTGCTTCTGCTGCACAACATTGTTGTTGTAGTCTTTTCCTGATCTTTTATACAGTGTTGTTACCCACCACTTCTGTCCACTGGGGATAGCACCATGTTTCAGCTGAGGTCGTTTGTTCACCAGCGGCTGTACGCAGCGGCAGAGGAGATCCTCGGAGAGGTGGAGAAGACCATAACGTTAGCGCTGTACGAAGCCGGTGTCCACCGACCGAGAGATGAGCCCCACGGTGAGTGTCAGAAACCGGACTTCATGAATCGGATATCAGCTTCTGGGTCGTGGTAGCTTTACTCTTATGTCATAAGTTTGGAAGTGATTTGTTGATAAGATAAAAAGAAACCACAAGGCGTTAAGTTAACCTAAGTTTGCCCCCGTTTCTCTAAGGGACTTGGTTGACATTGAGTGCGTTGACATGCACATTAGTTTCCTAGGTTTTATCGTTTTCGGTGGTACGGAGCACAGAGAAACCAGGGGCCTGTACGTCGAAGCGGGATTTGTGAGTTATTCAGCTCTCTGTGGGCTTAACACAGGTCTTGTGGTACCACGAGGCTGGCTAACTGTTAAACGGGCTAGATCAATGTGGTACCCGGGGTGGGTCACCATGGTAACCTGAGCTGCGAGAGCAGGTTAATTTCAGGTTAACTACTGACCAATCAGATTCAAACAAATAGGCTAACAATAAAGTGACAAATAATAAATCGTTTTGCTGTTGCAGGCGTCCTATCTGTCTGCGGGAGAATTTACCAAACGAAGTAACATTATAATGAGTATTATAGCTGCATTTTAATTGCACAAAGATTTTTTTCTGTCTATGCTTTACACTCTTGTTCCCTAGCTGACGCCCAGAATAACATGAGGAGAAATAGGAAATAATAATAAAAGGAAGTAAAACCTAAACCTCTGTTTTATTTTGTTTAAAAAAAATAATAATCCACAAATATTTCCCATGATTAAAAATACAACATGCCCATCAGATGGACCTTATCAGGCATTAACTACTTTTCTCTTCCTCTCTCCTCTAATCTCTGCTTTGGCAGCAAAAACAATCTGACATCACTTCCAACTTTTTTATGAGCATCACATCACCTACTATTCATGATAATTTGTCAGACAAAGACAGTAACGCTTTGAGGGAATTTCTTCAAATTTTAAACATTCACTTGGACTCAACGATGAACTAATTAGATTTTGGTGCAGGTCAAAGGTCAACATCAATCTTACCTCACGAAACACATTTTTGGCCTGTTGAATGTGATGTCTCAAGACAGCCTCAAAGGAATTTCTTCAGATTTGGCACAAACATTAGCTCAGACCCAAAAATGAACTGATTAGATTTTGGTGGTCAAAGGTCGAAGCTCAAGGTCACGGTGACCACATGACATTATGACACAACATGGCTTCTAAGCATTGTAAATCAATCTCTCACCTGTTGTTGTCAGACTGAATAGTCTGGCCTCCAGAAACCTTGGCCAGATCCAACACTCCCCCTTTACTGTCCTATATCCAAATGACCTCTGGTTTAAAAGATTATTTAAAGGGTGGGCGCTAAATTTCAATCTGGTTTGACCTAGTCTGGATTGATTTGTACAGCTGGGCTGCAGCTAATGACAATCATTTGATTCTTAAAATATCGGGGAAAAGTGACTAGTGTCCATAAGAATGTTTCTTAAATCAAGTTTGACATTATCAAATTCACATTCATATTCTGTCCAAACAGCAGTCCAATACCCAATGATATTCTGTTTACCATCATAGAAGACAAAGAAAACCAGCACATACAGTGTACACATCTGAGAAGCTGTAAACAGTGAATTTGCTGAATTGCTTAACTATATGACTTAAACAACGACCGAAAGTAGTGCAGAATAATTGATTATTTGTTTAAATTCTAATCCAAAGTGCTATGGAGTAACTTGCTTCCGTGTCCTTTGTAGCTACAGAATCTCCACTTACCACCGGTACTGTGACTGGAGAGGAAGTGCTGCAGGAGACCTCACCACAACGTTTGATACAAGAACAGTCTGAGGTCCCAGGCTCCTCTCATACATGTGCAGATACAGAAAACAATGATGGGACCTACTGCCTAGTTCAGATAGACTTCAAAATAAAAGAGGAGCAGGAGGAACTTGGGGATGACAGTGAAACACAGGAGGTTATTTCTCCTTCTCCTGAAGTTGTGAAAATTGAACAAGATCAGCCAGAGACACACATGATTAATGAATTGCCGCCAGTTTCTTCAGATGACTCTGCAGCTCAGAGTGAGAACAGTGACAGTGATGAGGAGTGGGTGCACAGCAAAGGGGCGGAGGCTTTGCAAAGACAGAATGGCAGCAAGGAGCAGAAGGGTCAAGCGGCTTTGCCTGATGGAGATTCTTCTGCTAAAAGTCCAAAGGACCGCAGTGTTTGTCCTGTGTGTGGAAAGGGTTTCCAGTACATCCGTCCCTTCATGAAGCATCTAAAAACACATAACAGGACAAGCGAGTCTACAAAGGAGCTTCTAAGTCACTTGCAAAGTGCTCACAGCAAGCGCCTTGTTTGTGAAGTTTGCGGCAAGACGTTTACCAACCCTGGTTGTCTACATATACACTCAAAAATACACACAGGGATTAAAGACTTTAAATGTCAAGACTGTGGGAAATCTTTTGTCCGAAAAGAGCATCTGACTGTGCACATGCGGACTCATTCGGGGGAGAGACCCTATCACTGTGATGTTTGTGGGAGAGCATTCACTCAGAGCCAGAACCTCAAAGTTCATAGACTGACACACACAGGAGAGAGATCGTATCAGTGTGGATCGTGTGGGAAATTCTTTTACACCCATGGTCAACTCAAAAAACACATGAAACGTTTTTCAGGAGAAAAACCCTTCTCCTGCGATATTTGTGGTAAAATCTTTTGCCAAAGGGGACAGATGACTGAACATCAGGACGCCCATGCAGGAGGGAGCATGGAGTAATTTATACATGTATGGAAAAGCCCATATGGATAAGATTTATTTAGGTGACACAGCTTAAATGCACCTCGCATTTGATTGTGCCATTTTCCACAAACATAGCAGTTAAGAGAATCTTAGTGATCATGAGTGTTGTTTCATTCGCAGGATGAATAATTCTTTAGCAAAATGGTGTGAAAAGTCTCTCCTCTCTGTATTGTAATGGGGATACATGGAAAATAAATGACTTAACAGCAGTAATTACTTTACTTAGTGATCATTTTCTTTCCGAAGATGCTTTCCAACCTTAGGAATTAATTCCAGCTCCTTCAGGTGACGGCAAGTGACTGCATCTCCCAGCTGCTCTTCAAGAGTGAGTCTTCCTCTGTAGTTTTGCCAACAGGTGGCAGCAAACACACCATAGTTATTCTCTATGAGCAGGACTGAAGGACACATGATGCTCACAGCAGTCAGTAACATTATTTATTTGATACTGAGATGAGCACGATCTTAACAGTGTCTGAAGACTCATATTTAAGATGTTAACAGAGAAAAACTGGATCATACTTGTAAGTTAATGTTTGGGGTTTTACTATAGTTTTCTACTATTGGCTGTAAAGAATCTATAAATGCAGCAGCCTTGAGAGCAGGTTGTGTGTCAATGATAATCAATCAAATATCAAGCGCAATTACTGCAGAAAGCACCCTACATCAATCTCTGCCTGTTGGCATGAATCCTTGCAGCAACATGTTTATGCTACTGGAAATCCAAGTGTATAAAAGTGTCCATTAGATCCTCCATGTTTGTGAAAGTGCATCCTACAGACAAATGTCAGGTTATAGAAAGTCAGGTTATCACCTTCCTGACCGTGTTCACGTGTAGGCTACTCTCTTTCTCTCACTCTACATCTATTCCTCTCAGTCCCATACACAAACTGGATGATCAAGATCAGACAAAATTTCCCATATTTAAGGATCCTTAGTTATCAGACAAAATTGAAGCCCCATTGAGAGAAAATTAGAAGGTGAATATAATTCAATTAGATGGGGATGCAGAAAACATGCTGTTTGCAAATTGATCTGATGACTGCGTGGACACTCGCTCAGTTATAATAAAAATGAAAATAATAAAAAGGATTCTGGCTTTTAAAATAAGAGGCTTTCGAGCAGTAACTGGCGTGAATTTTCCAGGTCGTGCAATTACATAAGTCTGCGTACAGGACTGCGGTGTCAGAGGACGGGGGGGGGGGGGGGGGGGGGGGGTTGAGCTCAGTGTGTGTTTGGATCAGAGAGGAGTCGTTGCTCTGTCAACTGTTGGCCCTTCAAACCTAATCTGGATTAGAGGTTGGTCCAGTCTGCAGCCAGGACTCCAATAATCACATTATTCTGCATTGGGTTGACGCCTCCTGAAGCGGAAGGAAGAAGCGATGTCCAACAACACCGCCAACATCTCTGACGCGGTCACCTTAAAGATAAACTGCTTATTTGAATGAGACTTTTTTTTCCGAGTTTGGCCATTTCGCGACGGAGACAGAAAACAATCGGAGGAAAGTTGGCTGAATATTTGTTGTCCACGGTCGGTGGGTGGTGCGCATTTCCGAGTGCAGCACACCGCACTCTGCAGCATCCAGACTGATCACTGCAGCCTGAAGCACATTTCTGCACAAACCGATGCCTCATTGACTGTGGACCTCTCCCAACCTCTGCCACTGATCTCCGAGGAGCAGCCGGTCGAACATGGCAGATTCATGTGAGTGTTTTTTTTCACTGACTGCGGCAAATACTTGTTTATTGTAAAGTGCCTCGATCCGAGCAGTAGAACAGCTGCCTTCAATCTCTAATATAAGACTTGCGAAATTGTCTACAGGTGATGACAGAAAGAGCGCAGACTGACGATGTAGTGATGCCTTTGGCTTCTATTTGAAACTGCACTAGCCCCTTGAAGGGGGAAAAAAGTTGACGGTCCATTGTTCATAAACAGTCAACCAACCTCTTTTAGCAAAGGAGATATTGTCTTAATGGTTATCCTAATGGGATCAAGTGCAGCTTCACTAACACTGACCATGTGATACCCAGACACACAGCCCTGAGCCAAATGTGTCAGTCGTCAGGGTCAAATGGTTGTTTGAGGATAGGAATGCCATTTAAAAAACAAAACAAAAAAAAAAGAAAAGATGCCATGCCATGGACAGTCCTCACATAACCTCATACAGCACTACCCTTGGGTTTTTAATGAATTACATCTTAGAAAGAAAAAAGAATATTCTGTTCCCTTTTTACCCCATTGTCCTTGTTAAGCCAGGATAGAAAGGCCAAGAGGAGGACAGAGCGGTAAAGACATGATGATTTTTTGGCAGGATTCAATCCCATGCTGGCGCCAGGATTAAAAATGGGATTTTTCAGATGGTCACATCATTTCTCCCTCTCTATTTTAATCCACTTTAAGTGATCTACTACTCACTAATAGACTCTTGAATCTACCTGCCCTGTTTGTCATGAGGCTTACTAACCTTTTGTTTACATAGGCCTCTAATACCTTCAGTCATTAAAAGTTTCTCCATTTAACTTCATTAACATTTTCCTCCATACTGAATGGCCTGGATCATATCGACACACACATGACTATTTCATGTAATAGTAAAAGTCTCCTACTTATACAGTACATGTTACTGACACAGTGACCTTCTGTAGTCCTGTTTGAAAGGTCCACATCTGAAACTGTTGGAGTTGATTAATTGATTAGTTGATGGACAGAAAATTATTCTGTAACTATTTTGATAAGACATTTTCAATTGTTTCTTGGTTTTAAATGATTGTAAATGAATATATTTTAGTTTTGGACTGTTGGATGAACAAAACAAGAGATTTGAAATCATCTTTGGCTCTGAGAAATTGTGATGAGCATTTTTTCAGTATTTTGGGCATTTGATATACAAATAATCAATAATAACAGGAGAAAATAATAAGAAAACAAAGCAATAATGAAAATACATGACTTTTCTTGCCTTCAGTAAATCACAATCTATTGTGGAAAATGTCAGATATTAAGTATATTTCGACAGGACCAGATTGCAGCTCTGTTTTTCTGTGATTATCACGCTCCCATCTGCCCACTCCAATGATGAAAAGGTGTTTGTTACAGAACCTGGCATGGGACATCACAGTTACAAATGTGTGACTATATTTAAAAATTCTTCCATCACTAAATATAAAATAACAATATCTACCTCACTTTCCACTTTCCTTGGACAAACAAAAAAACCTACATCGTTCCAAACTTTTCCCCTTGAAATCCCGTGTCAGTCCTCTGGTGGTTGCTCTTATTTCCTACCTTACTTCTGCCGAAATTCATGCACTGTCCTGACTGGAAAGCTGCCAAACCCCTGCTGACTATTCCTCTTAGCAGGGAAGGTTTTCCTCTCTGTGTCAGCAAGAACTGATCCAAATTGACTCTGAAGTAGAAATTGATTAGGGCTGTCTGGAGCAGGTTTAGCACTGGCTGAGTGACGCTTTTGGTTAATTAGATTTGACAAACAGCCCAGCAGGTTGGTGCTAAAAATTAATATCTCTTCTCATGAACAGTGTGCAGAGAGGTGGGCAGATAAGGGGTGAGCCAGTTAAATTGTGCCAGCAACATGGTACCAAATGACTATTTGTAGCCTTGAAAATTGTGTTCATCCAGGTCAGGGCTAGAATTTGTAATATGCACGACAATGGTCAGTCACTGCTCAACTGTCATACTAATGTTACATTTTGTGTTGCTGCTTTTATGTAAAAATGAGGCCACTAAATGGCTGTTTTATGTTCTTATGTGAAGGAATCGGGCCTTTGCATTTGCTCTGATAACAAGAAAAAGAAACAAACAGCCAACTTACTAAAACAGGGATTCATTAATCCTAACTAAAGATCCACTTGCTATGTTTTTCTAGAGGTTTTTACTGCATCATCATCATTTCTAATAGTCAGTTTACTTATGCTGCAGTTCTCTATAAATACAAACGCTTTGTATTGCTCATAAAGCCATCTTGTGACTACAAGTGGCAGTGCATTATGTCTGCGTGTGTCTGTCAAGTCAATCTGAAAATGTATCTGAAATTGAAACACACTGATTGCCCATTCATCAGATTTTATTCATGTCCCAAGTGTCTTAATTTCCTGTTGTAAAAGCCTCTTTAATATGGAGGATTAGAGTTAATCCACTCTGAGTCTGGACCGTAGCTGTTGACTATCTGTGAATTGGGCTGTGCAGCATGCCTTCCGTGATGCATGTCAGTGGCTGTCACTTGTAAACAAGCTGTGAACAGCGTGTTATAGATCCATATGCTCTCAAATGCTCGGATTTCCCAAGGGAGTGTCTAATTGTTATGCTTTCAAAGGCATAATGGACAGTCGAGAGGGAGTGGTTGGAGAAAAAAAAGAAAGTTTGTTTTCCCAGTTATATTCATATGGTTGTGACTCAGGAGGTAGAGCACTAATCGGAAGCTTGGCAGTTCAAGTCCTAGTTCCTCCAGTCCTCACTTCAAAGTGTCCTTAGAGATACTGAACAAATGTATCATCGGTTTGTGAATGTGTGTATAGTCTATGTATGGCGCTGAGTGAATGTATGTGTGAATGGCTTCCGTTGTAAAGCGCTTTGAGTGGTCGATAAGACTAGAAGATGCCTATATAAGTGCAGTCTATTTGCCATTTACCATGACATGGAGGGGCTTTCGTTTCCCGCTCCTCCTGGGCTGCCATCACTGCTCTCAGCTGCTCATACTGTTTATGTTGCCATCTGGAATTCAAGGGGTCTCACAGGGGCCATTCACTGGAGGGGCTGTGAATTTGACATATGAGCAACTGGCGGCACATTGGTATATCCTTGTGGCAGAGGGATGATCGACCTAGCGGACGGAGTGGATTCATGTCAAGCACGCCACGGTCAGAGCCTGCACATTCATGTGTAGGGTGCTGTATCAAAGGGATACCAGTGCCATGAAACAAGCCCTTCGCTGTTCCAGAACTTGGATTGCGGTCAGTATCGTCCCCGGTAGCTGTTGTGAAGAGACAATTGCAGATTTTTGGTGGGTAGACAACGTCTTCCAGCTGGAAGCATTGGCAGACTCCACTGACACTGTGGGCCAACGCTTGCAGGAGATGATCATATGACACACACTGTACTTGATGATTCTGCTGCCTCTCACCAAATGCATGACATCACTGTTGTGGTCACAGCACAGTCCTTCTCGAGAGCATCTCTGATATTGTCCTGAACTATCAGAAGAGTGTGTGTGTCCCCCCCGCGAATGTGCCTTTAAGTCGTTCGAACACTGGGACACAATAATATCAACATAAAGACTAAAAACTGCAAAAGCAATGCCATTCAGCTGAGCCTCTCCCTCATGCTTTTCCTTTGATACAGCCTGTCTTGCATCCTGAGGCAGTTTCAGTGATGTTTTGCCTCAAGGGGCTATCATGTCTCCAGGTGCAAGTTTGGCAAGCAACTCAGTGTCTTTTATTCCCAGGGCAGTGTTTCTAACATTGAAATCTAATTGTTTTGTTGATGTCTTACGGAGCACCTTGGAGACGGCTGCATCCACGAAGAGCAATCCACATTTCCTCTGGCTCGATGTCCCTAAACATGGCCACAGCCAGGACAATAGTGTCAGTGTCTGCAGTACAAATAGTCACCTTCTTGCAACCCCCCTCCAGACACATGCATCTGACACATGCAGGAGCAAGAGCGTGTCTGCTTCCTAATGAGAACGCTGAGTGAGATTTGTCAAGTGACACTGGCCAGGAGAGCAGAGCACCACCCTGAGTTGCGTAGACTTTTTTTCCCATCATGTAAAGGGTTTTGTACTCATCAACATGCAGGAAGTCTTTCCAGTGTTTTGGTAGTGCAGTGGCTGGAATTACTCGTCTCCCAATTGCCTTCCCTCTCTTCTGTCGGGTGTTGTCTTTCAGGCTGTCAGGGATGTAGAAATCCCAGATAATATCATGACGGCTTGTTTTCTTTTTTGGATACGGCACAAAGACACTGCTCAGACCATATGCCCCACTATTTGTTATCTGAACAAAGACAACTGGACTAATTGTACAATTTCCTTCATATATAATTGAAATGAGGGTGCATTTACAGTATATTTATCTGTAGTGCTTGTGTTTGTGCATTTGTTTGTCTTCACATCAGATGTTCTAGACACAAGGAACAGCAGCATGTGTTCACTTTCATCACTACAGATACATTTTTTTTTTCCTGCGTTTCACTGCAATCAAACCTCAGGTAGTCGTGAGTTGAGAGGAGTGAGCTTCTAAAAGAAGTTTTGAATTCCTGAACCATCTTGGAGAATTTTGGCAGCGGAGGCAAATGAGTAACAGTCTACGGCTGCAAAGAAAACTGCACAAATATTTAAAATAACAAGAAAAGAAAGCAGTTGTTTTACTGAGCATCTTACACGGCTCCTTAGATAAAGACCAATGCCAAAACTGGCATGAGCAGCCTAATGGAAGATGGCTAATGGGTCATTGCATCTAATTTGGGATTAACTGTGACTCTCTGGGGCTAATGACTCCTTAGATTATTCCAGAAACAAAGCATTCGTCCAACACCTTCCTTACCTTAAACTCAGACTGTGTGTGAATTGACAGCGCACACAGAATGAAACACACAAATGCCCTAGGAGGAACAGTAAAAAGGACACAGGAGAGAAAGGGATTAGAAGATTAGGAAAGAAAGGTCTCAAGGTGAAAGGAGAGAGAAAATTAGAAAAGTGACAGAGAAGAGGGAACAGAGAGGAATGAAACAGGAGCAGTCAGAGCAGCAGGTAAAGAAGTCCAACAGAGGTTTAATGTTAAATGTTATAAATTGTTATTATAAGTAATATTGCTAAGGATTTGTTGAAGCTGTTTTAATTTTAATATATTTTCTTTGTTTCTCACCACATTTCCAGCATCCAACATGATGAGCTACCCAAGGAGGATCTTACAAGTCTACATGCAGTTACAGACTCCCAGCGTTAGCACCATGCTCCATGTTTTGGTAGTCGGCTACTCCTTTTGGTTGACTTCATTCTCCCCGTAGCTCGTGGTTGACGGCCAACATGGAGGAGAGCAAGCTCATCTTCAGCCTGGACCGCCACGATGAGGGTCCCATCGTGGCGTTCTCCAGAGACAAGCCGCAAACCAGAGAGAGTCAACCTGACCTCAGTTTGGGGATCGATTTGGACCTGAGCCAAGGCCACCGTTCCCAAACCCCTTTCCTGCCTCACTCCCCCTCCTCCCCAGGCTCTTTAGCTGATCTGTCAGCATCATCAGCAGGTCTGCTTGTCACCACAAACTTGGTCAAATCCTCCTCCACAGACCTGGAGCCGAGGGAGGGCAGCTCTCTGAGAAGCAAACCTCTCCTCAGCTTGGTCAAGTCCCTGAGCACAGAGATCTCCCGTCGCGTTGAGCCAGAGGTCAATCTCTCCAAGTCTGACTCCAAGCTGCATTTGCATCCATGGAAGCAGCTTACCCAGCCAAAGATCGCAGAGGCAAGGCCTGAAGCAGGAGGACTGAATGAGAATGACGACTGGGCGTCACCTCCTTCCACAGGCAGCATGTCTCCCACCGAACCGCGGGGCAGCTCACTGATCGCTGAGCTGGAGGACACACGGAGGAAGTTCTCCGAGGCCATGCAGGATCCTCTGAGCATGCTGAGTAAGATCATGGGGGATGAAAGCTGTGGCAGCCCCAAGCAGGGGAGGGCCTCTGGTGCTGGAGACTCACCAGCCTCCCAAGCGAGCTGTGGAAGAGAGGGGAGCGGTGAAGATGCAGAGTTCAAGTGCTGGAGGAGGACTGATGGTGAGCACAGAGGTGTGTTTGACACTCCTCTGAGAAGACTCCAAAAGGGTTCATTAATGAAATCCCCTGGCTCCCCAGAACACCACGCCCACAGCAGAGACAGCAATTACGAAATTCACACTTATGGAGATATGATTCAAGTAGTGGAGCTCCAGAATGGATCCAGAGGGACACATCACAAAACTTACACCCAGTCTCGAGGCATAGTCCCACGCTCATCGCTGCCTATTCACTGGCTCTTCCCTGTGGGTCTTCTAGCTTACGGGTTTTTTGTGCTGCCCCTCCCCTCCTACCTGACAGGTCTATCTGTGGGGGTTGCATGTGGCTTTATGCTGGGCCTGGTGGTCGTGTTCATGTTTGCCCCACGACGCTCAAATGCCGGAGGCAACAAGGGCTCTCGTTTCAAGTCAAGCATGTGTCCGCTGGATGGAAAGCTCACAGATCCAGAAATTCTAGAGGTAATAAATTAGTAAAATATAGTAGTTAAACAAACTGGCATTGCAACTCTGTGTGTCCCCTTCTTTTACCCAAACTTGTCTGTCTGTGCTACACTTACTCATGTGAGAGCAAGATGCCAGGCACTGATTTGGAAAAACCACTGGACTGGAAACAGTAGGAGGGATTTTTTTAGACTGACTTTTTCTGTGTGTGAACATGTGTTTTGTTTTCTCTCTCCAACATTTTCTCTGTCAGCCCCTCAGCCAGGTGAACTCACAGATGGCTATACCTGCAGCAGTATGCTAATTTCACCAAAGCTCAACATTAACTTCAGTGTCATCTTTGGTGGGACAGGCTTATGTTTTTCATTAGTTTAAAAAAACTCAAATTTAATTGAAATCCCAATTCTTAAAAAAGCAACCTAAATATATCTACACATGAACACAACACTCTGAGCTTTAAGCCATGCTGGCTGAGTGGCTGTAAGAATTGACCAATCCACCACTGTGGTCTAGACTAAATTATCTCAACAACTATAAGGTGGAATGCCATGAAATTTGGTACATACATTCATGGTAAACAGACAATGAATGCTACTGTCTCACTTTGGTGATCCCCTGTCTTTTCCACTACAGCCATAAGGTTGACATTGCCGTTTTGGTGAAATTTTTCCATTAGATAGATTGCCGTGAAATTAGGTACAAACATTCACGCCTCAGCACTTTAGCTATACTTTTGTGCTAATTAACAATTGTTAGCATGCTAACACACCAAAGAAAGATGGTGACAGTTGTAAACATTACACCTGCTAAAAGTTCGTATGTTAGCATTTAGTTCAAAGCACCACTGCCTGCTGCTAAGTGCAGCTTCACAGTGCCTCTAACATAGCTGTAGATTTTTTGCCTTAATACCTTTAGGAACAGCAGGTTCAGCATTTAAAGAGAGGGTTATATTGATAATAGCCTTCACAAAGCACTGCTTGACAGCTCTGCTGAGTTAGCAGGTTCAAATAAGGTGAAGTTCATGAGGATAGAGGAGTTTCTACCATGAGGCTGTAAGCTTTTTCACAGTGTTAAATGAGACAGATGTATTCTGCCATGGCTCATGTTTCCCCTCCTGCTGAGCTGTATTGTCACAGTTCTCACCACTCACTGTGAATTTCATTTGCCTGAGTAGAGACTTTGCTAGGTTGACATATTTTCTGCTTGATATTAACACTTAGTTAAATGCACATAAATAAAGCCACAACACAGCTGTCAAGACTGTTCAGTTATGAAAGGGAAATGTGAAGTGATTTGTGACTGACTGCGTTGCCGCTTTCATCATTTTCCTCCAGGGCTGGATGAATGAGACGCACAGCTACGACCCTGAGACTTTCCACCCCTCCATCACACACTCTGTCTATGTCACACTGGAGGGCAGCCGCCTGCACCTGGCACACCCGCGTGCCAACATCCCTCGGTGGGCGGCGTTTGACGAGACACCTCGCGAGGCCATGTTTCTACGTTCACGCACTTATCAGCTGGCTAACTGTAAGGTCAGTGTGTCATTTCAGGCTCCCAGTAGAGCAGGCATGTCCCTCACAGGGGAGAGAGAGAGAGAAGCAAGGTGACCTCTTGCCTGAACTCTTCACTCTTATCTCTCACCACCCACTTCGTCATCTAACACGGAGGTGAAAGACCAGAAGGATTAGGACTGAAGTGATGATACTCTGAATAAACTTGACCCCTCCACTATGCCAGTCACACACTGAGGCTGGCGACAGTGGCTCCCAGTAGGGTAATAGAATAAAGCTTATACACAATCTAATCAATGTGGGGAGGGCTTTGGCAGTAGTTAACTGTCAACACATTTCTGCCTGCCAGCATCTCTTTTGGAAAGAGAGAAAGAGATAAAAAAAAAAGAGACTAACTCTTTTTTTTTAATGTTCCAATCTGTTTATTTTTACCCCAGGTGTCTTTGTTGCCTCCTGGTCTGGCTCGCAAGAGGGTGTGGAACAAGAAGTATCCCATCTGCATCACTCTGGCTGAGGGGGAGGTAGGGGAGGAGAGTCTGGTTGAAGGTCAGGAGGAGGAAGAAAGGACGGAGCGACACACCTTACTGGACAACCAGCTTCCTGTCAGCCTCTACCTGTTTGGCCGCACGGGAAGAGAGAAGGAGGAATGGTTCCAGCACTTCCTGTCTGCCTCCAGGGCTGGAGCCAAGAGCAGTGTGAGCGGAGAGGAGAACACAGGTACGAAGATGTTATGGTGCATGCCGATTGGTTATATTTAACCATCTCGTTCAGCCCACTCACTTCGTATTTGTCTTTAACTTATCACCCAGAAACACTACTATCTGGCGGAGATGCAGTAAAAGACGGCACAGAGGAGCTGCAGGATTTGCCAGGAGCCATGAAAACAAGAACGCTGTTGGACTACAGCATCTACATGACTCAACTGATTGGCTCAGAGAGTTGCAACCCCACACCCAGCCCCTGCCACAGTGAAAAGGGAAGCCCCACAACCCACAAGAAGGTCAATGAACAAAACTTTTATTTAGCTTTTGGACCTGACATCGAGGCAGTGGAGGTTTTAAAGTGATGTAAACTTTTAACTCTCCTCCTTGATGTATCAGATTCCAATTAAAGAAGCCCTGTCTGTCGGGAGCAGATATCACAACATTGCTTCTGCCATACTTACCCTCTGGATGCCGGGCTAATATTCTACATAACTCCCATTGATCAGAGCTGGTCGATATTAGCTACTGTTCTGCTCTGTGCTCAGATTAGCCTTTTCCAGGACACTGGCTCAGCGAAACAAATCCTTGCTGACTAGACCAAATGTCAACGTGCAGAAATATCAGGCATCAGGTAGCTGGAAGGATATTAATAGGAACTGAGTGTGGTGCATCTGCAGAGTACCAGACTCGGCTGCTAATCCCAGTCTGGGTGTTTTGGAATCTCCACCCCACGTAGAAACAGTCTGACGTAGATGCAGAATCAGCATGAGTAAGTGAAAATTGCAAATGTATGTGCTACGCAACGACTTATCTCTCTGAAATTCCATGCAGATTCACAATGAAGAGCACAACTCTGGAGGTCAAGCTGGAGCTGAGTCCAGTGCAGGTTCAGAGGCAGGGGGATGCTCTGCAGAGGGCCAGCCCACCTGGGTTAACTCCCTAGTGGGAAGGATCTTCTGGGACTTTCTCCGGGAGAAGTACTGGACCGATCAGGTGGCGCACAAGATCCAGAAGAAACTCAGCAAGATCAAGGTGAGGGTGGATGATGGTGTTGATTTTATTTTTCAAGGTTAGTTGCGAACTGAAGTCCTTAGTTGACACAATGATTGGTTTCACTGATGCTCTTCGTTCTACTTTTCATTTGCACATTCATCTTCATACTTCAGCAGCATCATCAGTGTCATACTGACTAATGACCTGGCAACAATGAGTGTACTGTGGGTCAGAGCTGCACAGACTGTGTCACTCGATGATCTGAGCTGAACATCAGAACTAGTGTTTGTACAAGGTCAAAAGACGTGTCATTAGCTACATCGATGCTGTGTGTGTGTGTGTGTATGTGTGTGTGTGTGTGTGTGTGTGTGTGTGTGTGTGTGTGTGTGTGTGTGTGTGTGAGAGAGAGAGAGAGAGAGTGCTGATAATGCCCTCTCTCTGGTTCCTGAGGCAGGAGGTGGACGAGCACTGATGGCACCACAGCATCCCATTACTCATCCCCTTTGACACACACCATCTCTCTCTCTCTCTCTCTCTCTCTCTCTCTCTCTCTCTCTCTCTCTCTCTCTCTCTCTAAGTCCCCCTCTCTCTCTCTCTTGCTTCTCTTCTCCTTCACACTCACACAAACACACACACTTCCTGCAGGCTTCCATTGCTCGCTCTTTTGTTTGAGGTAATTAGCTACCTCTGCGGGTCTCTCTATTTGTTTTCCACAGATTTAATTTGAAAGTTTTTCATGTCTGACATGAAAGCAGCATGTCTAATAAATAATTAGGCTGTTTGTCCCATTGTAGTTGCCATACTTCATGAATGAGCTGACTCTGGCTGATCTGGACATTGGCACCTGCCTACCTCAGGTCCTGAACACGTCCAAACCTACACTGGACCGCAGAGGTATGTACATTCCCATACTCGCCTTTGCTCTTTGGTGATGAGTTTTCTTTTATAAGGTCAAATAAGTTTAGTCTCTCCGGCAGTCTCTACCCAGATCTCTCTCTCGGTCACATTCCTGCAGTCAGCTCAGGCCGTGATCTCATTTATTTCATTACAGAGTTCATCGTGACCGCCTTAAAAGCTTTCCATTGTCTCCTGCTGAAGCGATTAGCAATCCTCTTAGCCTTGACTAAGCTCAACCAACAATAACACGCCAAAGCTATCCTCTATTGGTCTTATGTTCCCTCTGCAACAACACTGTGCCAGAGCAAATCAAGAAAGATGTTGGCTCAGCCTCCAAAACAAAGTTTTAGAGTTTAGCCCAAACTTCCTTAAGAAATCTGCAGACTTACCTGCAACCTGATAGCTGTTAGCTGTTCTTCTTCTCTCTGCTTTAACTCCCTCTTTCCATCTCCAAGGCCTGTGGCTTGAAATGGAGGTGATGTACACAGGCTGCCTTCAGATGACCCTGGAGACTAAGATGAACCTGTGTAAGCTGGGTAAAGAGGGAGAGGACGAGGCTCACAGTGTTCCAGAGACCCAGCAAGTGGGGTGAGGCCCATCAAACTTTCATATTCCTTAGTAGATAAAGGGGATATGTGGAGGCGAAGGTGAACATGCTGTGGAGAAATGCAGTTTCTAAACTTTGTAGTTTGCATTAAGAAGTACCGCTGGTGTGTTTTACAGCTGTAAGCCCAGGCTGTGTATACTGGCTGATAGTGATGAAGAGTCATCCAGCGCAGGCTCGTCTGATGAAGAGGAAGTCCCTCCATCTGAGCCCCAGGGATCTGTAGGAGATAAGAGCACAGCGGTAGCAGCTGACGGGTAAATTAACAACTTTATTGGTGTTTTCTATCACAGAAATTAAATACCATGGGTCATAGGTCACAAAACTGTATTTCACTGTAATAGTGAGGTGCAGTGACACCGAACTGATTAGCAGTAATTGTTGGAATGCAACATCATTAAGGTTATTATCTCTACCTGAGCTTTTCCTTCTATGACAAGTTGAAATGTCTGCTGCAAAACAGCAAATCTGGCAACCGAAGAGTAGCAAAATTCAGGCATGCAAGATTCATTCAGAAACCTAAACAACAAGTGGAGTACAAGATGGACAGATTTTAGAAAGGAACCGGCATTTTTCATTCCCAACAGAAATGAAGGAATGTGTGAAAAGAAACATGCAATTAAGGAAGGGAAATTTTTTGCTGGGGGCTTGCAACAGAAAGCAAGACAGAAAGACCTTGGGAATCACTGCTTTACACAAATCAGATATAATGTAAATTTCAGGAAATGTTTGAGGAAAATACAGTCATACGTACCACTTGAATCTCGACAATAATCTTATGGGACAAAAATTTGTAGTAAATATGGCGATTCCCATACAATACGAAGCGGGGTTAAGCCTTTGACGGGTGATGAAAAACACCTGACTCATCACTAATGAGTTTGCATTGGAGCGCAGATTTAGTCCATATGGCTTGTCCAAATCTATGAGGAGCAAAAAAAGTGTCTTACATGAGCGTTGGACATGTAAAGCATGTGAACCAGGATTGCCACATTAGCAAGTTGGGGGAAAAAAACAAACCAGTGGCAGTCATTTTTGGATTTCCAGTACACAAGTATTTATAATACATTTTCTACTGTTGTCCTTATTTTACCCCAGGCACACTGGTGGCAGCACAAGTAGGAAAATCCTGAGATTTGTGGACAAGATAGCAAAGTCTAAATACTTCCAGAAGGCCACAGAGAACGAGTACATCAGGAAGAAGATAGCTGAGGTGTCCAACATGCCTCTGATGCTCAGTGTAGAGGTCCTGGAGCTCTCTGGTACTCTGGCCATCAACATCCCACCTCCTCCTACTGACAGGATATGGTACTGTTGTTTCATACACAGATTCAGTGCAAGCGGAACATTTGTTATTGATTCATCTGCATGTTATTTCACTAATCCTCTTTTCTCTCTCAGGTACAGTTTCCGGGTGCCTCCCAGGTTAGACCTTCATGTGCGTCCCATGCTCGGGGAGAGGGAGGTCACCTTCACACATGTCACTGAGTGGATCGAGAAAAAACTGCAGTGTGAGTTCCAGGTGAGTCCATCAATCAATCTGTTCAGAATATTTTAATCCACGTTTCAGAGGAGTATGTGAATTACAGTGGACAGTTTCCTAACTTTTAATCATTGCTGCTCAACAGAAAGTGTTTGTCATGCCCAATATGGACGATCTGTATCTGCCCCTGATGACATCTGGCCTGGAAAATCCACCTGCATCCCACCACTCCTCAATCCAATCCACATCCCAACAGTCCTCCATGGAGTCCCAGGACTACATGTCAGAGTAGTGCCCCACTTGAGGCTACAGATGGGATATTTCCTGATGCAAATTAGCCATTGTGCAGCTATTGCCATGAATCTCTCGTGGATTCTGAGGCAGCTGCAGCTGGGTACCGGCTTGGTGTTCATCCTGAGCGTGTTCATTGTAACCAGCGTGGGATAGATGCCTCCTGAGGGCACACTGAACATGGTATTGACCTCGAGACTGTGACGACGGTGCTACAGTGCCCCCAACTGTGAAGATATTGAACTGTACCTAACATCCTTATCACCAGTGAGAGCGCATAGCCCACTGGATTTCCAAAAGGGAAATTTTTTTTTTTTTTAATGCTGTTGCTGACGTAGACTGAAGAACAGAATGTCTTTACTGCTCAAAAACAAGGTGTTGTTGATGGCTACTGTTTTAAAAGAATGAAGACTGAACAACAAACCATCCATCAATCAATTTTCTTAACCGCTGATCCTCTTAAAGGTTGTGAGGTTGAACAAACTAGAAAGTGAAAAATATAAGATAAAAAACCTGAGAAGTACTTTTTGTTCTGTTCAGCCAAGCTGCCATGGCGCATGTTATTTCTGAACAGTGTGACTGTAATATGCTCATGGATTTCTCAGTGAACAATAAAAACCTGTTCAAAACTTTAAATCTATGTTTCTTGTTGAACTTAAACTGCATATAAATATGTAAATGATGAGGTTAAAACACAACTGTTGTATTAACATTTTACATGGAATAACTACGCAGTGTAATTGAAAGTCAGGTTTATTATTGTGTGATATAGTATATTTTTTCAGGCATCCTCGCACAGCGGCTCAGGCAGTTTCTTCTTGATATCTTTCTTCAGTGGCCCCTGCAGATAAACCAGAAGTGTGAGGTTGAAATAGTGCAGAATGATTAAGGAGTTATGTCAACACTGGGGGGGGGGGGCGACCCCTTTTGTGCAAATATTGGTTTTACTCATGCAAATGCACAAGCCATTCTTCTCCTCACTTCCTGGTATTCAGATTTGACTGTGCACCAAACTTTTCTCACGCTCACCATAAATGCCCTCTTCTCCTGAGCAGTCTGGAAGCGGCCGTGACCAAATTTGGAAGTGGTGTCGATGAACTTGAGCTCAATCGTCTCCTTGGACTTGCGAGACGTGTGCACGAGCAAAGACTTGGGAGGGAGAAACACAGAAAAATATACATATACTGTACATGTCCTGCAACTCTACAAGGAGCTTCGCTGTTTGCTTTGTGAGTAAATCAACTTACAGTTTCAGAAATACACAACAACAGATATCTAAAATTAGACTTGCAAAATCACACTGTACCTTTCTGAGAGTGAGGACACGTTTCTTTGTCCCGACCACGCAGCCTTTGACCATGACAAAGTCATTATTCACCTCACCATAGTGGGGGAAGCCTCCCTACAGGGACAATAACCAGAAAAAAGACAATGGAGAATAAAGAGGAGAGCGAAGGGTAAGTGAGGCCTGTTCAGGAAGAAATGCATCATGTTCTATGCAACCCATAGTGGTGCCGGAACCACACTTTTCATTCATCACCTAACGGTAACAGAAAGCACCGTGCAATTACAAGTCTTATGACTGTTATAATACTCCCTTATGCATTATAAAGGCCGAATACCACTACTAACATGCAAACGTTACAATGAGTTGTGTGAATTGTCAGTGATTCATTATCAATATGGGCTTCATAGAAAGTGTTATTTGATTTCTCATATGCTGGAAAATACGATTATCCATTTGTTTCACTATGGTTTCGTCACAGAGAGATGGGAGTACCATGGGGGTAACGGTCTTCTGGCTGGTGTCATAGTTCGTGGAGGCATTGTTCCGGATCACCTTTCCATCCTGAATGTGGACACCCCTACCGATACGGTAGATCTGTGGACACAAGTGAGGACATAAAGGGTTTCACACACATTAAATCATGGTAAACCTACGAAATATACTACTAATAATGTTGTTTATGATTATTCATTAATATTCAATAAGTCTTGTGGGTGAAAAAGATTCTTAACCATCAGCTAACCTTCTTGTTGATCTCAGTACGGTGGTTATATCCCTTCTGACCGGCACGAGCGATAGTGAAGCCCACACGGGCGGGATGCCAGGCTCCAATACAGGCCACCTTCCTCAGACCCTTGTGAGTCTTTCTGGGGAGCTTCTTTGTGTGCCAGCGACTTGTCACACCTATCAGCCCAAAAGAGTAAAACGGCCTGAAGTGCATGGTTGATATGATGATTATAAATCTGAGTACATTTGTTTTTCCAAGTCTTTGGACTAGCACAACTAGCAGTATTTTTCCCACCTTTGAAGCCATGACCCCTGGAGACGCCAATGACATCAATCATCTCATCCTGGTAGAAGACAGCAGATACAGGCACAGCCTGCTCCAGACGCTCCTTTGCCCAGTCCACCTTGTCTGAGATGCTACCCCCATTTAGCTGCACCTCCATTATGTGGGCTTTTTTCTGCTTTATGGGCAGTAGTCGCATCTTGAAATGAGGAAGAAACACCTTTGAAGCCTGTAGAAGCTTAGGAAAGCTATAGTTTTCTCTGAGATTCCAGAGAATATCTTGCTTTGAACTTACTATATTTACAAGTACTCTCTTTTTATAATTAGATTTATTATTCAGCATGAGATCATGTTTGAATTTCAGTAATAACATCAGGCACTTCCCACAGCTCTAGTATTTAAAAGTGCATTTTGATCTACTCTCCACTGCACAGAGAAAGCCTGGTCTTAGCAACACTGTGAAGAGCTAAGATCCTGGCTGATCTTCATTTTGTTCGCTGCCAACATTAAGGTTTTCACCTGGCAAAGCCTGGGTGAGCAGCCAGGTTCTGCCTTTAAATTTATTTTTAAACTGCTATTTGAGACGGCACCCCCCAGTGCTCCCCACAGACAGAGCATCGGGGTCAGAGTTATTTGGATCTCGGCAGCCAAGAGGTTTGGGATGTGGCAGCTTTTCTTTCCGTTGCATGTGGTCTAAGCCTGACACCTCTGCCCTTTTGCAGGGAACGTTTCAAAAGAAGGAGGGGTGGAAACAGATGTGACAAGAGACCGCACTTGTTGTACTTTGAAAGGCTGGATTGTGCTTTGTGAAGGTGGTTATTTCATGCAGTTATTTACTTGGAACAGTGTGTTGCACCAGTGTGAAGAAATGCTGGCCTACCTGGGAGTGAACAATAACCCTGATGACTGAACAGTATTTCTTCATCATAGCAAAATCTTTGTCCAGCTGTTTCTTTCCTGTCTCATCCTGCCACTTCTTGTTGTACTTGGTGAAGGCCTTCTTCTTGCTCTTGTACCTGTAACACAACACAGAAAGACACACTGAAATTTAGATTGTAAACACCAGTCCACTTTAAAACCCCAAGCAGTAATTGAGTGGAATCAACTGAACTTCATTTCAAGTTCAACTTGAAAATTAATAGGAAACTCTATATAATTACACACACCAGTTTTTGTAGAATCTGCGCTTGCACTCATCACTCAGATGCTCGGCAAAGATGGTTTTAAGGGAACGTAAGCCGCGGACAGTATGAATGTAACCCACGACTCCCACCACGATGACAGGAGGAGTTTCAATGATGGTAACTGCCTCCACCTCCTCTCGCTTTGATTGCTCTGTGGGAGGAACATGGCAAATATCCATCTGCTGAGATCTTGTCAGCATTTAGTAAAACTCAATCAAGCATAGACGTTTTAACAGGAGATAAGTATACATGTCTATAAACAATATACGGCAGAGAAACCCAGCAAACAGCAAGAATCACTTAAGCCTCCCAAGCATCCATGATGCATAAACTCCAGCCGTACATACTGAGACCAGTGCGGTGCATCTCCCTGAGGGTGTGGGTCATGCCAGCCTTGTATCCCAGGAAGGCGGTGAGGTGGACAGGTTGGCTCGGGTCGTCTTTGGGCCACGTACGCACCTTGCCCCTGTGTTTCTTGCTACGCTTGTGGGGTAGAAACCCCAAGTGCCCGTGGCGGGGTGCATGGAATTTGCGATGAGACTAGAAAGGACATAAGCCGCACAGAGTCCTCTACTTATTCATATTAAACTCACACAAGCACAGATGTATTGCAGTGATTTTTACAATAATGCCACAAGAGCTTTCCCTCATTATGTTTTGGCACAGGGCAACACACATGGATGTCAAGAACACACTGCAGGTGTACAGCATGGACAGATGGAGAAATATGTAACAGGTTGCATGGTTTCCAGATGTGTACATTTTAATGGCACCAATAGTGGCAGACACTGTGTTTGGTCAGCAACCCTTCATAGTCTCTTACACTGAAGATGTGCATGTGGAATATATGCAGAGATAAATGAATAGCCCCCCATACTATAGTCAGTACATAATATGTTGTCTACAGTCATGTTTTTCTAACCACAGTGTTTGATCTGTTTTCCTAATTTTCTTCACATATTCAGATTCCTAAAGTGTAACAGGACATCAACAGAATATCATGCAGTCAGGTCCCATAATCTTCAGATCTGTCGCCTTTCTGTCCAGGCCATGTGTTTTGTACTTTCTGTGTTGATTTCTATATCACATTTAATGTGATTCAGCAATCCGCCACAGCCCAAAAAATAAAGAAAACTCAGAGCACGGGATGTTGAATAAAAAAGAAGTCACCATTTCACTATTTCACATGGTCTCCTCAGAGGCAGCCATTACAAGATAACTTTTCCAAACACTTCATCTATGCTTAGAAATCCAGATGACCAAACAAACTCATAAATCACCCAAACATGCTCACATCTAAAAGATAAAAACAGGTGAAACTGAACAATGATGCATCCTTTATAGCAGAAAAGAACCAAAACCATAATGAGTACTGACCATGTCCGCGCACTGTCCAGTCGAGGGATAGAAAGAAAGAGGAACCAGTGCTGATGTAAGGGTCATACATAAGATGATACACAGTGTAAGAGCTCTAATTTGGTGTTTGGCCCGGTTGAGGAGACGTATTTGCTTTCAAACAAGAGAATCTCTGCCAAGTTCTGACAGGAGAAAATAGGAAGGAGGCAAGAGAGGTTAAAGTCTGAGGTCTGAGGTGGTGGGGAGGCCCAGTGGACAGGAACCATATAACCAAGAAAGGAGAGAGAGAGGAAGAAGAAAGTTTTAATTTTCATGTGGCCAAAATCTACCTGCTCTGCTTTAGGACTGACACACTGATACAGTGTGATTTGACCATGTGATTTTATCAGCCATGTCTTGTTGTGATTGTTTATTAATTAGCAACATAAATAGTCTTGAAGGAAACAGTATGTCACAGCATCATATATAATATTAGCCTACATATTAAAACCACATTACAGGTTTTCTTGCATTAGTGTGATCTGTGGCCGTATGGGGTTCTGTATCTTTCTCCGGAGAACTTCATGAATTAAACAAAACAGATGTGCCTGCTGTTTTATTTGTCATCTCACAGTTGAGACACATCTCTGTCAGTGCTGCGCCATCAAATTTTAGATTTTCAGGTTCCTGGTGGCATTCTGCACCTCATACATAGGCAAATCTGAACACAAAAACAATTTTTGACATTTTAAATGCTCTTTGATTATTAATATCAAAACATTTTAAGTGTCAGACACTCTCGTGAGATGTGTCTCACTATACTAGTGGCATGGACAAAATTATGAGACAAAGGTCCCTGTACACAGATGTGCAAAAGGTTCCCCACACCTACAGAGGAGGAACACCATCAGACAGAAAGAGAAGTAAAACGTTATTTGTTGTTGGTTCATTTTGTGTCTCTGCATTTCTTGAGAAAAACATTTGGCTTCTCTTTGTGATAATTTTATATCTCTATTTGTTTTGTGAATCTGTAGTTGTTTTGTCTCTGTAGTTGGTTTGTGTCTCTCTATAGTAGTTTTGTGTCTCTTTGTAGTTGTCTGATTGACTTTTTGACAAGAAATGTTAACAGCCTCTTCAAACAGAGCCTGGTCCAGGTTCTCTGCGGTTGAAGGTTGGCAGCTCTGCACCGCCACCTGCTGCCTTTAAACGGTACAACAGCTCTACCTGTAACCTTTACCCTTCAACCTCCATTTTTTAAAAAAAATACTGCTATTGAGCTCGTACTAAGCTCCTCCTTACGCATAATATATGTACCCAGTATTAATTTTAGAATAATATAAAATAAAGAATAACTACATTAAAAATTAAGTTTTACGTTTGCTGACCTCTATTTCGCCATTTCTGCTGTGTCTACTGCGCATGCGCCACCTCGAAAGGAGAGCTGTCGAGGTCGAATTGTAGGATTTCTTCAGTCTTGGGCAAAATAAAAAAAAATGCCTTCAGATTTTGATAAAGGAGCATACCCGGAGCCCCCTCGGCAGACTCCGGCTGTGGATAAACAGACAGCGCTGCCAAACCCGGCCCTTATTCTGTCTAAACTCTTCTATTATTCCGTGGACCTGCCTGTCACCACATTTAGAGGTAACTAAAGCTAACGGAGCTAACCGTGCTAAATGGACAACAACATAGCTATCGGGCCCCCGGGATGCTTTATATACAAAACGTAGTTGTGTTTAGACATTAAACGATGATATCACAGTTGTTGCCTTGGATGATATTTCATGAACTCATTTACAAGGCTCTGCTTTGTGGAGATAACGCTATGGAGAGATTTAACGTTAGCTATGTATGCTCTGTTAGCGAGGTGTTGTGCTAGATATCCATGCCGCATAGCCTTCCCCTAAGCTCCGCACTGTGTTTCTACCCTCATTCAGATGTTGTGGACAGCATTCGGGCTAAAAACAAGGCCGTGTACTACCACCAGAAGTTCCGCCGTGTCCCGGACCTGACTGAGTGCCAGCAGGGAGATTACGTCTGCTACTATGAGGCAGAGATGCAGTGGAGAAGAGACTAGTGAGTAACGAATCAAACACACATTCAGACAATTTTGTGCCAAGGATGCTTAGATGCGACGATTACCAGAATAAATATACATGGCTTACATACAACACACAAACATAGTAGAATAACACACACACACACTGGATAGATTACCAACTGTGCAAAGTTGCAAATGCCTTTGGTTCCCGAGGTCCTTCAAAAACTCCAGTTTCACTTTGTGGCAGTTTGTTTGCTATAATTTGATTAACTGATATAATATAAATTGATAAATGAGGGCCAAAGGCACCTACTGTATTTTTACCTAATTGTGAGGCCCTGTCTTATAGTCCGCGGCCCTGTGTTGAAATCTAGTTGTAATATTTCCACAGAGCTCACAAAGATAAATTTACACAATGCACAATACAAACAATGCAACTTAATACCTGTTTCATGGTCAAGATCGTCAGTGACAATATGGCATAGAGTTATCAAATTTTTTTCAGTGCTTCTAGGTATTATATGACCAGAATTTCTTCCCGATTTAATTAATTGAATTAACTTGCCTGGGATAAGCAGCAGAAACTGGTAAATGGATTAACCAATAAAATATGTAAGTTTTTGTTAAAATCATTAACTTGTCCATCCTGAGCTGATGAGCTTAGAGCTACTGCAGGCACAGGAGGGACAGTGTTTGCTACAGGTCTGTTGGTGCTGACTGAACTCCACAAAACAAGGTTGAACAACCTCCTGAAGCACAATCCTCTGTCACAACAGTCCCACTTTTAGTTTGGAGCTGTTGAACATCCGATAGCCTGCAAACAAAACATATTATAACTGTCTGTTGCAGGCATGTATAAATATTTATGACTTTTGGTAATTCAATTTTAACACTTTTTTAACATATTTTCGGGCCTTTTATTGTGGAAACTAAACTCTATACTTTAAGACTTTTTAAGACCTGCAAATAACCCTGTTGGTAAGGACAGCACTCTAGGAGTGTGGCGATGGGCACTTAAAGGCAATAGCAGGACACATGCCGAGTGCTAGTGTAGGTGGAGCTGGGGGGTCAGTAGGTGGCCCATAGCTCAAGTTTGTCCATATTTTAGTGTGCTTCTAATTTTGCGACATGACAATACCCCTGTGATACAGAGCAAGCAAGGAGGAATTATTTTCCCAGTTTAGTATGGAACAACTTGGCTGGTCCACACAGAGCTATCACCTTACCCCACTGTTGTCTTCACTCCTCAGTAAAGTGGACCAGGAGATCGTGAAGGTGATCCAGGAGCGCATGAGGGCCTGTCAGCAGAGAGAAGGAGCCAGCTACCACCAGAACTGTGCCAAAGAAATACAGCAGTTCAACGAGGTGACCAAGAACTTCCAGTCACGCTGTAAGTACTGTGCTGTTTGAAGCTTAAACATGTGTGGTGCAATAACAAGATGGAAATGTGTAAGCATCATGTTTTTGCTGTTTTTCAAGTAGCTTTCATTCAAGAATCCTCCACATGTCATACCATGCCTGAATACAGCAAATACCAGTTACTTTATTACTGAAACAATTAAGAGCATTTTATTTTCAAGCAAGAAAAATAAACTTAATATTCTATTGGCTCCTGCTTCTGAAATGAGAATGTGCCATTTGTCAGTTTTAATATGAATTGATCATGTGAAGGCAGTAGCTTGGGTTCTGAGAAATCACAAGCATTTTTATGAACAAAAATACACTTTTTGCATGGACATTGACATGTCTTATTTGTAATTTAGATTTTCAATGGCTACCACTAAATGTTTTATATTTATGACCTGCCTCTTTTCAGACGGCGACCTGGGAGTTTACGCCAACGGGAGGAAATGTCTAATGAAGCAAAAAGAACGAATGATGGCAGCTCAGGCGGAGAGTGCTTAAGAACAGTTCTACTATCTGTCCTGTGTAATATTGTAAAATAAAATTTATGTCACAAATCATGTATTTGTCTTTCTGCCCTGTCCTCAGATAAAGATATCAAAAAGTCAGACGCAGATGTGGAAGTTGGTGAAGCAACTTTACAGTCAAGTGATTTCCTTAAGATTTGAGTGTTGCCGACACACACTGAAGATCAAGTTTTCCTTCAAACATCAACCGATTCACTCAATTTGAGTTGCTGGACACAAACTGTTTTACAGAAGGGATTAGGCTATTGTAAATTACACTAAATCAATGAGCAGTTAGTTATGGCAATACAGATCCATGGATTAGTCAGTTTCAAAATAATGTCAGAATTTCACCATTAATATTTTGACTCATTACATTGATTATCCAAACTGCCTGATCCATGTAGGGTGCTTCTCATCTCTGATTCACACCTGTTCTTTCATGAGCTCACCACATGCAAAATAAGACAATGCACAATACATGTTGTTTCAGAACGTTTATTCAACGATTCTCTGTACAAAAAGTTTAGGAGGTAGCTGCCTGGACAGCCTGTCCCCTCTGCACAGACACCCTGGTGTGAGTCTTGGCCAGATGGTCAGTGAACTCCTGCAGTAAGAACAAGGTACAAAAGCCTGTTAATACATAAACCTTACATATTAAAAATCATGACAAAAAGCCTAAGATGTGTACTGTACCTGGTAAGGAGACTTTGTGAAGACGGTCTCCTTCCAGAGATCAGGGGTCAGGTAGCTGTAAGTCTTGGAGATGGCGTCAAAGGTGGCCTTGGCTGAGGAGTGAACAAAACAAACCATCAGTTGATGCTTAAGATGGAGGCTCCAGCACGTAATAGTGCTGCAATGCTATTTGGAAAAAAAATGTTGAGCACTGAAAGGGGAACAGAGGAGACCACTAGACAGTCTTTCTGCCGTGCATTACAATACTCGTTTCTTTCTCTCCTGATAACGACAACTACACCACTGCAGAGGTGAAGCTGAGCAGAGCAAGGAGAAAACTAGATACACAGCGCAGATGAAGAGACAACCAATTTAGAAGCTGCTTACCGAAGTTGCCGAGGGTGGCGGTGCAGCCCCTGGCAGAGGTGTAGCAGTCATCAATACCAGCCATCATGAGCAGCTTCTTGGGCACAGGGGCAGACACGATGCCAGTACCGCGGGGGGCAGGGATGAGACGCACCAGGACAGAGCCACAGCGACCAGTCACCTTGCAGGGCACGGTGTGGGGCTTACCGATCTTGTTACCCCAATAACCTCTCCTGACGGGGACAATGGACAGCTTGGCCAGGATGATGGCACCACGGATGGCTGTGGCCACCTCTTTGGAGCACTTCACCCCCAGACCCACATGGCCGTTGTAGTCACCAATGGCAACAAAGGCCTGTAAACAAAGCCAAAGGCCAACAGTGTTAGAGTTTGACATTAGCATTACAAGAAGATAACACTACTTAACAAATGGAGACATACAGAGTTCATTAAACTCACCTTGAACCTTGTGCGCTGACCAGCCCTGGTCTGCTTCTGGACAGGCATGATCTTCAGCACCTCGTCTTTCAGACCAGAACCCAGGAAGAAGTCGATGATCTCAGACTCCTGCAAGAAAAAAGGTAGGAGAGTTGAGAATTACATAAGGGTCCCCTGCAGCTCAGAAGGAGAATATCTACCCATCTATAGTTGCATGCATCCAATTTCACTTTTGACGTTCCATCATGGCAGAACGTATAGTTCTCCAATATAAGGCTTTCAGTTATATTAGTGCAGCAACCAAAGCTCAGCAGTAGGAATAGTGTTAAGAGAAAATGATGCTGTGCTCTGACTAAACTTAATGATACGTTAGGAATAAAATAGTGCTACCAACTCATAAAATAGTTGGAAAGGAATTGAAAAGGGACCATCCTGGGGAGTTTTGCACTTTGACAGACCTCCCTTGCTAGTATCATCTTCATGTAATACTTTGCAGTCTAATGGACAACACATACTGCTTACCTTGATGGGCAGAGAGTAAAGGTAGATCTCCTCCAGGGACTTGATCTTCATGTCCTTAACCAGGCGGCCGAGCTTGGTGACTGGCACCCACTAACAGAGTAAAGAGCAGGTTCTCCGTTAAACATGACTCGTAGCATCCGTTTCACATATACGCCATTACGTATCAAACAACGAAATTAAGGTTTGGGGTCTGAAACTTACTTCCTTGTCCTCGGACTTGCCACCACGAGCACCGCGGCCCCTGCCACGGCCTCTGCCGCGTCCACGGCCCCGGCCGCCGCGGCCACCAGCGCCAAAACCTCCGCGAAAACCTCCTCTACCACCGGCGTCGTCCGCCATTTGCTGCAGGACAAAACATTTTAAAATTAATTTATTTCTGAGCGGCGAACCCTCGACAGCATTTATCAGTATATATTTCTTTTAACATAATATCCAAGCACACGAGCACCGCCGCCATATTGCAAGCTGTGACCGTCCCTTCAAATGTATAAATATCTCGAGTTTCGCTGTATTGTGATAACAACTATGTTACGTGTTTGACAGAATGTGTTCTCCGGTAATTTTATAAGTAAATTCAATGTGTTTGGTTGAATGATGCCGGAGATAAAGACGGATTTGACACAGAACGGAAGGCTGTACATCCAACTTACGTGATCGATATAACAGGAAGAAGACCCATGAGAAGTTCCATTGGGTTTTATGTAGAGGTGTTATCGCGATATTTCGTCCAAGAGAAAAGGAACCAACAACTGCCCCCTGTTGGCAGCTTTTCCAAACATGACCTGTACTAGGTACTTGTTTATTTATTAGTTGATTGACAAAATTCATTGGCAGCAAGTTTTATAATTTTTTTAAAGGAAAAAAAATGCCAAAAATTCCCTTTCCATCTTCTTAAATGTGACTACGTTGCTAGTTTTTCTGTTTTCTATGGCAGCTTACTCGAGATGTTTGCATTTTTAACTTTTGAGGCCAAAACAAGAAATTTGAAGTTAACATGGGCTTCTTAACCTAATGATTTTTTTTTGTTGCACAGGTGCATTATCATGTTAATCATCATAGTTCATCACTTGTCAACAAAGAATCAGTCACCACTTCTTCCTTAAATAAAGATATGGAGCAGGTATGATGATGGTGTAATGTTAAAGGCTTTATTTACAAAATAGATGAAATTACAGCACAAAACTGTAACAAATCCACCCATTTTTATCCTACCTACATATTAAAAACACACACCTTCAAAGAGATGAGCACATGCGGAAATTATACACAGCAGTAACCAACCAGCAGCAGCAGCAGTAACTGACTCGTCCCTCAACAGTTGCTGTTGTTGCTACTTGGAGTCCCACTGGAGCTGCTGCTGCTCTCTCCGAGGTCCTCCTCTTCTACTTCATGTAGATCATCCATCACCTCCAGGCTCTCACAGATTAACCCTATCTGCCTCTTCATGTGGGCCATGGTGCTCTGCATCCTCCTCATCTTCCTCTGCAGGGCAGTGGCGATGGCCCTGTGGTTTCTTTGTCTGGCTTCATATTCTTGCCTCAGTTGCTTATAGCAGTTGTGTTCAGCCTGGTTGCGGTGGGAGAGTATCGTCCCACAGCCCATGTGGCAGGGCTGCCGCCAATGTTCGCAGTGGCGTGCATGGGTGTCCAGGTCTCTGCGCAGTAGCTGCGCCCGGCAGCCCTGGTACGGACAGGGGATGAGCTCATACAGACAGCTCATACTGTGGCAGTACTGCTCAGAGAGGGGGAAGGTCTCTGCACAACCACGGATCTCATTCTTACACTGTAAAAGCCAGAAACAGAGCTTCAAGACTACATAGTGCAGGGCCACTTTTTGGGCTTCTTTGTTATCATTTGGTTTGATCCTCCTTTTTCTCCCAAATGTAGCCACTCAATTAAAAAATGGGAGTTGTCATAATGACAGGGCATAACTTTCATCCCTGGTGACTGTCATTTATGCACAAATGGATACAAGTTCATCACTCTATTTTCATTTTCCCACCTTGATCTTCATGCGTCCAATAGATTTGCTCAGCTTGAACATGACAAAGATCAAGCTCGGGTTAACAGGCTTTCTACAGCAGGGACAGGTCTCCTGCCTATAGAGGACAAACGACAGTTACTCCTGTTCTTCTGAATGGACCAAACATCAATAAAAATCCAATACACCACAATTTTACAATGTTCTTGTCCAGTGGTATTGATCCATGTTGTGTTCAGTACCTCTTGAGCCACTGTAGGATGCATTTCTTGCAGAAGATGTGGTGGCATGCAGCTCTCACTGGACACCTGAGGACCCCCTGGCAGATGGTGCAGATCAGATCGTAGTCTGGGGTGTCCACAAACAGCTCCACATCGTAGCCCCCGCTCTGTGATGACACCTCTGGATCCGCCTGGATGTGGCCAATATAAACACTATTTCATTTTGGGTTATCATTTTGTATTATAATGTTTTCAGGGTAGATATTATTTGTCAAACAGTTGAGGAGATGGACAGACTGTAAAAGTATGAAAGTATCAACAGTTTTTTCTACATCTGTAAAAACATGGCTGTACAGCTGCCTACAACTCGTCCACAGTGTTTTCTACATAAAGACAGGAGGTAACAAAACAGAATTGTTCTGGAAAGTCATATGACTGATCACATGATTACAAAAAGCAGGTGCAATCGGTCTGCCAAAACTCTTCCCACAAGAAAATGCGTGAAAGTCACAAAATGCTTATAAAATGCTTATAAACACATCATTGCCACCATTTTATGGATTTTCTCATTTTAATTTCAATTCCATTTATTTAAATATTTAATTAAAAAAGATACTAATACATACAATAAATTTCAACAAAAAAGGACAGTCAGTTCACCAAAGATATAAGAAAGGTAGCTATTCCAATATGAAGGATGTAAGAGTAAACTTATTTAAACATACTTAAAAATAACCGCGATCATCCGTCAGTAAAATAAAACCTAGATTAAATAAATGAAGAGGAGCTGTTGTCTACTCACCATATTAATCTCCTGTCCTCAACGTGTTTCCATTCCCGGCGCTGGTTCACTCCATATCGATCCTCTGACATGTCACACACAGAACACTCACACCCTCGTTATCAATGTAACACACACATGAACATTCCTGACAAAACATGAAGGAGGGACCGTGTGTTTCTCTCTCTCTCTCTCTCTTTCTCTGTGTGTGTGTTTGTGCGGACAAATGAAAACAGTAAGTGATAAAAAACGAAGGCAGATAATGGGCGCTCATTATGGAGCGTCCTTTCCCAGCTGTTCTAGCATCAGAGCTCAGCCTCCACATGTCAAACAGAGACCTTTAAACATGAATGGTTCCAGCTGAGTCTATTGTTTAAAAGTTATTATGAAATGTTTATTATAATTACGAATTATAAGACACGTGGCATTCACTCAGTTTACACATGGAATGTTAAATCCCCACAAATCATAAGTTTATATGTTTTATTTTATGGGTTTATGTATAGGCTATTTTGCATGTTGACAATAGAAGCGGGATTTTTAGCGTTACCAGCAGTAAACCCTTCTGGCCAATCACAGCTCCATGCGCTCAGATGACGTACAATGTGTGCGACTCCGGCTATCAACATGCGGGATGGATGTGTTGACTGTATCCAACGTGTGAAGTGAGACATGTCAGTTTAATCACTCAAGCTGCCAAATATTTAGGGTTTTTAGGGTTTTTAGGGGGCATTTTTCGTGATCAAGATGGCAAACACCAACCTTCAGTTCAAAACAAAGTAAGTGTTTTTGTCACATGACACATCCAGGCTGCAAACATTGCAGGCTGGCTAACACAAGCTAAGCTAAAGTTTCACTTGTAGTTGCCGCAGCTTACAGTCATATATTTCTGTTATTTCATTACAGTTACACTGTTTCCAGCAAGATTGAACCGTTTTACAAAGGCGGGAAAGTGCAGGTGAGTGGTCCGCTTTGAGCAGAAAGCGTCTGTATTGCTGCAAATCAGTCTTATCTATCAATCAATCTTAGTCTTAAAGGTGATATAACGTGGCTCTGCCGTAAAGGTTGGGGAAATTGTGTGTAACAGATTAAAACAAGAATGGCCCAAAGCGAAATAGCAGAGCTCCAAAAACAGACTTGACTTTTCCACAGAAGACATGCAGCTGTCATCACAAGATGATTTTGATAGTTTGGTCTTATGACTGCACGTTTAACCCCTCCGTCTGTTTGTTTTTCAGATCAGCAAAGATGAGAAACACATCTTTTGCACTTGTGGCTCTCATGTCAATGTTTTGGAGATCAGCACCGGGAAGATTGTCCACAGTGTTGAGCATGTGAGTCCACAGTGGGTGGTTATATTAGAAAACTGGAGTCGTACATCTATGATACTTACAGCAGAGCCTATTAGTATCTCAAAGACCACTTTCACGGGGGTGGAGGGGAGCAAATCATGCACAACAGAATAGAGCTTTTGCCTGCTAACGTGGGTACTTGTTCCTTCATTTTATATGGTTGCAAATTAAAAAAAAATTCAAAATAAAGGCAAATTATGGTTTATGGGAGATTTGAAAGTGAAAGCTTATTGTATTTACAGCTTATTTATGCTTTATTTAATGCAATGTAAAGTTTTTTGCATTTATGATAAATTAGACATTTATAGTATTGGTTTGTTGGTAATAGGATCCAAAATTTACACAATTTATTGATTTGTCAATTGACAAATGATTAATCTGACTATTTTTTAAGTAATTGATTATCTGTCAAACACTTTCTGGTTCCAGCTTTTCAAATGTAAGGAATATTTGCTCTGCTTTGTTGTATCGCTGTAAATTTAATATTTTAGTGTTGAAGATGTCTACTTGGACTCTGGGAACTGGGAAGGTTTTTGACATTTAGGTTAAACAACAGATTAGTAAATTAAACATCCACAGATTAATAATAAAAGTAATTATTAGTTGCAGCCTTAAATACGATGTCACACACTTACTTTACATCAGGCACTAGAATGGACATAAATCCTGAATTTTATCATCCCCTCTCTTATAATGTCAATAATTTGTAAATTTGTACCTTTGATTATCCTGAGATCTTTCCATTTTGTCTGTCCATGTTGTAACTGCAGGATGATCAAGAGGACATCACATCTTTCGCACTTAGCTGTGATGATGAGGTAAATAAAACACCTCAGCCATGTGTCCTTACTTCAGTGTGAATTTGCTGTGGGTTCTAATATCAGCCTGTAAAAGAGTATTTAAAATGTGTATATGTCTCTGCTCTGTGTCCCACCACAGCTGCTGGTAACAGCCAGCAGGGCTCTGCTGCTGAAGCAGTGGGACTGGAGACAAGCTCAGTGTACTCGGTCATGGAGGGCCATTCACACTGTGCCTGTAGCCAGTATGACCTTTGACCCCACGTCTACGCTCCTAGCCACAGGTCAGTTGACGACGGACTAGTAGTCAGTTACACCTGCTACATAGACATCTTACAGTTTACTGAGTTTCTCCTCTTGTTGTCCTGCAGGTGGCTGTGACGGCACCATAAAGATTTGGGATGTGGTGAAGCAGTACTGCACTCATAACCTGAAAGGGTCATCTGGTGTTGTGCAGTAAGTCCAGATACCGGAGAACCTGAAACTGCATGGAGCTTATTTCTTCAAATTTTTTTGACTGCAGAAGTTGCTGCTCGGTTTTAAAAGTTTTACAGTTACTCAGGGGATTAGGTTAGTGAGTCGCTCCTGTACAGTCAGCCTAACTGATGTGGGGGGAAAAAAATCAAAGAATGACATAATCAGTTTTAAATGGAGGCTACTGATTTTGCAACTATTGCAACTAACTTTGTGTATCTTTGCAGCCTGGTCCAGTTCCACCCAGACATCAGCCGGCTGCAGCTCTTTTCCTCCTCTCTGGACTGCGGCATTCGGCTGTGGGACCTACGTTCCAGTCAGTGTGTGTGTGTGCTGCAGAGCCACTACAGCGCTGTCACCTCCCTCTGCTTCAGCGCTGATGGTGGCACCATGGTCAGGTATTGTGCTCTATATACTCTATATCTACCCCCCAAAAATGGAGGCAATATCCCTGTTATCATAAGTCAAACTCAGGACATTTAAAAAAAAAAAATATATATATATTTATATATAGCTTCTGTAGCTGTGTGTTTTAAAGCTGGTTTGCTCATTGTGTGTAACTGTGCTGATCTTTATTTGTAGTTCTGGCAGAGACAAGATCTGTACAGTGTGGGACGTGAATACTCGGAAAGCCAAGAGGACTGTACCTGTCTATGAGGTGACACTGAAATTGAAAGATATTGGCTGCTAACACACAAAATCTTTTTTTTTATTCCTTGTGGGGAAAATGCTGCAGCTGTGACTCTGAACTCCATTTGTTCATTGCTGTGTTTGTTGTCTCGGTCTCCAGGCTGTGGAGGGCGTTGTGCTGCTGCCTGAGAATAAAGATTTCTCTCAGATCGGAGTAAAGAGCAAAGACTTGCATTTCATCACAGCTGGCAGCAAAGGTTCGATTTTTTTTCCCCTGTTCTGAAAATCTTAAGCATGTTTTTGTGCTTTGTTGAACTCACCTCTCCTCCCTTTCCTTCTCTGTAGGTGTGTTGAGAGTGTGGGAGGCCAGCACGGCGCGCTGTGTCTACACCCAGACCCTCCCCTCCACTCTCATCCCTGTTTGCGGGGAGGAGGAAGAGGAGGAGGAGGAGGAGGAGAAGGATGATGACCACCGCAGTCTAACGTACCTGCTTCACCTGCCCAACTCGTCCAGACTGGCCACAGTCACTGCAGAACACAACATACTGCTCTACCAGCTGCCTGGCCTCACCACACAGCAGCAGGTGGGTAATGGGCACACACATGAGTGCAATATTTAGATCCAGAACTAATATTTATTCATTATTTAGAAGTTAAATGTCAGTATCAACCTGCCAGTACATTATTAAATCATTTATTTACATGATTTTAAATATACAGGATAAAATAAATTATTGTCATTACATATATCTACATCTTTGCTGTTGCCTTTGCTGCCAAATAGCAGGTTATTTAACCGGTCAGCTTGTAGTTTGTTTGTTATAGAGAAATTTTAAATTGAACATCAAAGAGAATGACATATGTTGAGTGTCTTTTACAAGGTTAACTGAAGAGAAAATTTCTTTTGGTCTTTTGGTTCTCTGTGTTATGTAGGCTGAACTAAGTTGGCACTCATATCACCCACTGATATTATATATATTTAGATATTTATAGATTTTTAATTCCTTGCACATTATTATGGGCAATTTGTGTAATGTCAAACTGGGGGGGGCCCAGACATGGAGGCCAGGTTTCAGTGACACAGATGCAGAATTAATGGATTCTCTGTCTGTCTCCACTCTCTCTCAGTTTGTGGGTTACAGTGACGAGGTGCTCGATGTGAAGTTTCTGGGTAAAGGCGACAGTCACATCATAGTGGCCACCAACAGCTGCCAGCTGAAGGTGTATGAGCTGCTCACCAACAGCTGCCAGATCCTCTACGGACACACAGGTCAGTCACCAGCAGGGGGCAGCATGTGTTCGTGTAGATCTACAGATGAGACTTCCAGTATTTCATTTCTCACAAGAGAGCGCAAATTTTCTGTGATACTGCCATTTATTCATAGATGTGTATAGCAAAGAAAGACTCTAAGACTCCATTTTTTCACTGTAATAACTGTTAATGTGGGTGAAACATTCTTCAGTCACTTGTAAGTTGCTTTGGATAAAAGCATCTGCCAAAATGAGCGAATGTAAATGCATGTAAATGTATTTTTGCAATGTTTACTGTAGCTTCTCAAAGCTGCAGTCATTTTTTTACTGAATGGAAAAACCTGAGTGACTGGAAATGAATGGCTTACTATAATTAGACACGTGTTAAGACAAAGGTTATTTAGAAGAATGTCACAGAAAAAAACCTGCTTTGCTTCGAGGCTGATTGACTAAGGCTAGATCTAGTCTTATGGAATAATAATGAAAGTGAATGTGCTTCACACTTAATAACCGACAAAGGAAAGTAAAGGTAATGATGAATAATGAAACTTGTAATAATTTTAATGATATTAGAATGTTATAA